ATATCTTTGAGATTTGAGGTTTAGTCGGGGACTGCTATATCTAACGAGCACAGAAGCATAAATTGCAACAGTGCAAAAGCAAAAACTATGTGCAAAAAACAATAAAACTAACCTAATTAACGATACTCCAATATTTTGTCAGTCTGACACTTCATGCTTTATCTTTTAAAGGAAATGGTTAGAAATTTTAAACAATCACTTTTGTTGTATATTATATTGAATATATTGCCTTGATCAATCTGTATTACAATATCAGAAGTTGTCCTTGAGTAAATTTTTAAGGAACCACAGAATTGCACGAAGCTTTTGAGGAATACATTAACTAGTCTGCGAGAAGGGTGGGACTCTGCAGAAACCCTTCAACTATCAAACAGTAAAAATGCCCAGATGCACTAATTCGGAAAAGGTTCGACATAATAGAACAAAAGAATTCCCAAGCTTTCTAAACAGTGTTCTATTAATTTCGTTTTAATCAGATTTCTAAATTATTAATAATTTACATATATTAGGAAAAATGACTTAGTATATTAGACTATCTAATAGACAAGATTCCAAAAAAAGAATTGTTAAATAAAGACTTTCAAAAAAGAAAAAGTCTTTTGGGGCTCTAAACGCAATTGTGTAAAGCCTGTAGTTCAATAAGACCGTAGATCATTTTTTGAAATACTAGTAAAGGAACGTAGACACTATACCTATAAATAGTTGTCTAAATATCACTGCTGTTCGATAGTTATTAGCGCTTTCATGTGACTTTAGTGAAGTATCTTACCCCATCAGTAAATTTTTACCAGTGGCAGCGTTAGACATTTAGGTGTCTGGGTGTAATATTTGAAAAAAAATTAAAAATTATAGAATATATACTCGTAGAGAGAGCACAAAATGGTTTTAAATAGTTTAAAATGTTTCCCTTTCATGTAGTTATTCCCTATCTCTCCCATTCCCTGAAAACACCACCTTTAGCAATCATTTCTATTTTTGTTATTATGATCAAGTGAACAGTGAATACTTTAACTGTTTAGTTATTAGTAAAATAATAAAGTATTCGAGATAATAAATATTGGTTTATTATTTTTTTTTTGCATTTAACTTTAAAATGCTGTTATAATAGTATCTTTCAATAATGGTATGAACCTCATTGCCATTGCAACCCCAAGTCCATTTCTGACTTCCTACGTTAAATTTATTGTATATCTATAATTAGGATGTACTTTGTCTACTATACATAGGTATATGTATAATAGATTTAATAATTTGAACATAGTCAGTGAAAAATTATTTTAGTGTTCGGTTAATTTTTTGGGCGACATTTCATTGTCCTTAGAACTATATGCAATGAAAGCAGAATAGTTCATCTAATTATTCATTGTTTCGTTTTTAATTTTCAAAATTAGAATATGAAAACCTAATTAGCAAAAAAAAAAAAATAGTTTAGTCACCAATCGAATTGCATCGTAACAATAAGGGGATTGTCAGATAATCTTTGCCCTTTGCAAAATACTTCAAATATTATTCACTATTTATTAGTATATTTTGATTAATGATCGTTTGAAATAGGTTTCATTCTATTAATGAAAACAATTTTTATTATTATTAGTTAAAATATTTAATGTCTACAATTAGTTTTTATTTATGCGATATAATAAATTTTTATATAAAAATAAAAATTTATGAGTTATAAGTTAATTAAAATATTGTATATCAGTGAATATAAATTCCCCCCAAAAAAACACTTGTTTTCACTCTGCAAAATCTAATAAAAAAAAAAAAACAAAATGATAGTTAATTATAATCGAAATGAAAACAAATGTCAGTCTTCTGATAATGAACTCTGTTTAAACCCTCCTATGTAATGACGCATGGTACACTCGTATGTATTCTATGAACTTATTTCAAATTTAAGTCATTTTCATAGAATGCGTATAAGCTTCCTTATCACAAGTTACATTTGTCAGTATCGTAAATGCAAGTCATAAATTACTTATTGTCATAATCCCACAAAAATATAAAATTTAAAAGGTGAACCACTTTTCAGACGTGTATGACCTCAACCATAGAGAAGAATTCTGTAATTATACAAAAAAGAAAAACAAAAAAATTCGAAAGTTAATGCATTTAATTTATAAACACAACATATGTTTAGATAAGAGGAACAAATGTTTTGATATACGAGGTATATTGTATTTTAATCTGACCAATATCAGTAATTTTAGAACAGCACAGAACATTATCAATTAAGTTACCTAAAAAAGTTAATAACCAAAAAATATTCTAAAGTATTTCTCATTGTGCTTTACAGTGGTAATTACTAGAAAAATTTCTCAACTACTAGAATTTTTTTTTGTAGATATAATTGTATATATTTATGTCCTTATATATTTCTTTAATATTATTGTTTAAAACAGTGTTTCTCTTTTTATGGTAGCACCCACTGCAGATTTAAAAAAACATTTAAGTGCTTCAATATTACATATACAAGGAGCTTTCAGAGAAGGTAAGCCAATATTTATTTTATTTATCCTCATTCGAATAAGGAAAATCGAGTCATAATTTTAAGCTTAACCTTCTAAATTGCCCTACTTAATAATCTACTTGCACTACTTACACTACTTAATAATCCAACTACCTACTCACCTGTTAAGAAACACTGGTTTCATTGGTCATACGGTGCGTATGAGTATCATATTTTCGCTTTAAACAATAAACTCTTATATGGAATTATGGTACTTTTAGTTATGATATCTCACTTCGTAGTTGATTTAGATATTTTTCACAAAAACAAGATTTATTTTACTAAATATTTTGTATGACAACAATCAATTGGTACGATAAGAAAATCATGATAATATTAATTTCTCATACTTATAAGGCTATAACTGTCATACTCTCTCATAACTTTGTAATATTTTTTTTAGTAACTATAAATTGTTTCATTATCATATCATAAATAAGTGTTTGGCAATACTCGAAACAGCTGATATGTCAGCCAAACATCAATTTAATTAAAAAATTTAAAAAAAATAAATTTTTGGTGTCACTCGTTCGAAAACCTCTTATATAAATAAAATGTAATTAAATAATTCTCAACTTTATTAAAGGCTAATTGTCATACGCTCATCCATAAAGCTGTAATACTTATAATTATAATTATATTATATTATTTATTATATTATTTATAATAAATAATATAATAAATAATATAAAAAAATAAAAATAATTATTTATATTATTTATATTACAATTTTTCGTATTATCATATCATAAATTGAATACGATTAAGAAATATAAACAAACATTTTATAGAGGGCCAGCAATATGTGACATTATTCGCAATGATAAATAGAATAAGGTACAGTATTCCTACTAAATGCGAGTACGGAATTTCTTAATATAACATAGTTAATAAATATTTCTTAGAAGCAATATTTCGCAAATGGATTTATTGTATTACTCAATATGTATAAAACCTTAACAAAATTAGTGGAAACGAACCATCAGAAAGGCAACAATTGTAAAGTCAAAATTGATATCATATATGAAGTCGATATGATATGAAATAGTCGCTAGTGATTAACAGATTTCAAGTATTATATACTTTTACTACATGCCAATATAGCATTTAAGAATATACCAGAACATTATAAATAAAAAATATTTAAAAGTTATATTTTGCAAATATATTATTACTTAATATTTTTTTTTTTTGTGATAAGGAGGTGGAATACTTTATGCACCGTCAAACCGAACGTCGTCGAAATGGTGTGGCCGACTCCCTAACATTAATATGTAGTATACGGACTAAAACACCTCTTTGGCGAGACTTATTCCCCCTCAGAACCACTTTCGCATTACTTCGAAGAGTCCAGACCTCCACTTTTTCGCCACATTTTCTTGGTGTCTGCACTATTTACTATTCTAGTTTCTGGTGCTCCTTTCTAGGTCTAATTTCTTCTTACGATTTCTTAATATATAACTTTAACAAAATTAATAGAAGCAATAAAATCAGCAAGGTAAAACTGTTAAACATGAATTTACTAGTTCAGAAATTACTAGTATAAGGTTTATAAAAATTTCTTAACAAATATAGTTTAGACTCTTAGAAAGAACCCTTGGTAGTAGTTGGTAGTAAACAAGAGCAATTTTTATTAAATCACAACTTTTTGATTGGTTGTAGAGATATGTTAGTGCTCTTTAGTTTCCAACTCCTTTAAAAGATATAAAGCAAACAGTTTTATTAAGATTGGACGGTTTTATTTTATAAATGAGTGATATGAACTTACACAATCAAAAGGAAAACCGAGAAGTTTGTGAGCTGAGTGGCTTGATGAAGACAAATGCATAAGTTACGGCAGGTTCTTACAGCAAATCATGCCAAGGTTAGAGTTTTAGCGCAACAGTCTTTCTTTCAAAGCTCTGGACGATAACCTATTTAAAAATTGTCAGTTAAGTTGGTAAGCTTATAACTTTGTTCCGAAATGGAAAGCCAGTGAGAGTAAGTCTGGACTAGGTGTAGGTGGTGTATTTATTAAAAGAAATACCAGAAAATGACAATTTTTAATAAAGTCCTCAGCCTGTACCCACGTTTAAGGTGCCGGTTGAGTGACATGCTTAATTTTAAGCAGTTTGACAGTCGGTTGATGCCGTTCGGATCTCTTCAAGTTTATGATAAACACCCTTGCCTCCTTGTTTTGCTGATTGTATGTCAAGCCATCACTCTCTAACAGTTTCTAACAGTTAGTGAAGAAGAGCAGCCTATTTAATGAAACTTGAAAAAAGTGAGCAACAACTATGCATCCAAGCGATATAAGAAATATGTTAAAATCAGAAATAATTGTTTGACATAAGTAGAAGTTTTAAATTTAGTAAAAAGTGTTTCAATTTTTGTCACAACAAGAT